ACAATGTGTGAGTCTGTAGATCCGTGTTACTCAGTATCATATTTGGGATCGTCAGCACTCGGTCACTGGCCCCTGGTTTTTTCCCCGAAGCATCAGAGGTGTCGGCTTTTTCTGCCTACGTTTCCAACTCAGACCGTGTATGGAAACCCAAAACAAGCCCCAGTGCCTAGAAGTCTCCCCTAAGTCCCTGGGAGCCTGAGTGAAGGGCACAAGAGAACCTCCCAGCCCCAGCATGGAGCTTTTCTGGAGCTGGGGTCGAGTCACAGATCAAGTCTGTCCAGTTGTCCATAAGATAGTCCTCCGCTCTCGTGCACCAGGCACTGGCTTGGGCACTGAGTGTCTGGCCCGGAACCAGGCAGGTTCCCATCCCTGCCCTCGCAGAGCCTACATTCCAGTGGGACCTACACGGTGATGCCAAGTGAGCAGCTTGCTGGGTGTCCTCGAAACCCACAATCCTCACCTCTGCAGCGGGGGGAGAGGCTGAAGTTAAACGAGGATGGCAGAGCAGGCTCTTGGATTGTAGTAATTGTCTTTCCTTCCCCTGACTCAGATCTCCCCACCTCTCTTGTTGTGATTCACTCCCTGAAATGGGAGGCGGGTACTGGGTGCTGACCAGGAAGGTGTGAAACCCTTCCTGGCCTTGTCTGAGTGCCAGGGTTGTAGAGAAGGAAACAGCACGGCAGTTCATCTTGGCATCAGATGGCGTCCAAGACATAGCATTACATGTGCAGTAGGTCTGAAGTGAACCAGGGCCTATGTCCACAGGGTGGGTTTGTGCTAGGAAAGAACTTCAGGGCACCTTGCAGTTGCTTTGAAAGAAATTATTGGCTCCATTCCTGATCCACAGCAGTTATTTGGTGTTGGGATGAGGTATTTCCGTGGTGGGCAATGCAGGCACCAGGCCCTAGAGAAGATTCCAGGGGCTGAAAGCAAGGCCTGGGCTGTGAGGCCGTGTCCTGCTTCCTGTGGTATGGCTAAGAATCCCGCAGAGTCTGGGCCTCACTGTGTGGAGCTACGGGTAGGAGTGGCAGATTTGTCTTTCTCCTGGCTACCTTGTTTATTTTTTATTCTGCGAATCTTTATTGCACTCCTGTTTACCAGGACCTTCTAGGCTGGAAGTGGAGGGAACACCCCCCCCCCCCCCAATATTTTCTTTGTAAACATTTGTTTATTTGAAAGGCAGAGTTACGGAGAGAGGGAGAGTGCGATCTTCCATGACCACAATGTTGGGCTGGGCCCGGCTGAAGCCAGGAGCCTGGAACTACATCTGGGTGTCATGTGGATTGCAGGGACACAAGCACTTGGGCCGCCTTCTGCTACCTTCTGAGGTGCATTAGCAGGGAGCTGGATCCAAAACAGAGCAGCTGGTATTCCAACAGGTGGTCTAATGGGATGCTGGCATTGCAGATAGTAGCTTAACTTGCTGACCAATTTTCTCAAATATTCACAATCCACAGTTGATTGAACCCACAGATTGAGAACCCATGAAAAGTTTGAAAATATTCAAAAAAGAAAAAGATCTGTACTGTCATCATTCCTAAGCAGTGTAGTGTAATGACCATTTAAGTAACATTACACTGCACTGGGTATAAAAACCATCCAGAGGTGCTTTAAGTTTATGGGAAGATGGAGGTTATATATGAATGTTGTGCTGTTTTATATAAGGGACTTGAGCATCTGAGATTTTGGTGTCTGGGAGGTCTCCTGGGCCGAAACTGAGGGACAACTGTATTCAAAAAGTGAGTATTTCATTCTGTGCTTTCAAGTTCATGGGAAGGCTCACTGTTGTCCACTTGATTCTGAGGCCTTTCGGTTTGGGTCTGGGGTTCAGTGTCAGGTCCTCTGAAGAGCTGCTGGAAAGTCACAAGCGAGGAAGTGTTCTGTGGGCGCACGAATAGGTTGCTGTGTGTGAGTGCAGCCCAGGTCCCTCTGCCGTCTGAGTCCATGGGGCCTGGATCCCTGCAGCGAGCTTGGATGCTGTGCTGCCAGGAGCTCCATGGTGTCTGAGTTTGAGATAGTAAGGAGCGAGAAATAGGGTGTTATGGGACATCAACCTTCACTCAAAGAAAGCATCAAACTTACTCAGCAAATGCAGCCACCTGTTGGCGTTGGGTGCACGGCCACGTCCACTGGTTGTGCATGAGGGCCAGCGGATGGTGCTGCAGTTTGACATTAGGCTTCCTGAGGAAGTTGCCCTTGGAGCAGTGTCACAGGGCACTGGACAGTGGGCGTGGCTTATGAGCAGCAGGGTCTAGATGGGGGCCTGGATTAGAGTTTGTGCGCTGACAGCCCTACGTAATTTAGGGAGGTGCTTTGAATGGTGGGGTTTGTAAAGATAGCCGAGTCAGGACAGTTCTGGGAAGCCCCTCGCTGCTTCTGTAGTTCTGGACTTATGGCAAAGCTCTTGAGGAAGCAGGGTGGTGTGGAAGGGCCGGTGTTGCAACTTTTTGGAGAGGGCATGTAGGCGGTGCCAGCTTCATCTTGGGGCCTCGGTGGAGTAGCCTAGGAACCTCTGCTCTCCCAGGGAGTGAGGCCAAGGGCCTGCCACCATGAGGGAATGCTTGGCTGGGATTTGAGGAAGCTCCAGCTTGGACCAGAAGGACTGCTTTTCAGAGCTATAGTGCTGTTTTGTTCTGTTTTGTTTCGTTGCCAGTTTTTAGGTTTTGCTCAGAGTGCAGAGCCCGTCCTGCCACCTACTACAATTGTCTTCCAAACTGAAATTTGGCAAAAGTGAAGAATCTTCAGCTGGTGTTCGTGCGTTTCAGTTGGTTCGGCAAGCCCTGAGTCGGCTGTGAGGAAAGTGTGCTTGTGATAGCAGTATTCTTGATGGAACAAGAGTGATTGGAAAATATTAATAGTGAAAGGTTGCCGTGTTTACTCTGTTGTGTAAGAGCATGGGTTCTGAAAGCCGCTGCTGAAGTTCAGAGTTCAGTCTTGTCACTCCTAGCTGTGTGAACTTGGCCAAGGTATTTACCTCTCTGGGCCTCATTTCCTTGTGTGTAGCACTTAGACTTATAATAGTAAGCATTTCAAAGAGTTTTTGTGAGCTTTAGATGCAGTGGTCAGGGAAAGCACTCAGTCTGCTGCTTGACACGTGATCGTCAAGAAAAACTAGGAGAGGCCAGAGCCATGGCGTAGTGGGTGTGCTTGCAGTGCCGGCATCCCATATGGGCGCCGGTACAAGTCCCAGCTGCTCCGCTTCCTATCCAGCTCTCTACTATGGCCTCGGAAAGCAGTAGAAGATGGCCCAGGTGCTTGGGTCCCTGCACCTGCGTGGGAGACCCCAAAGAAGTTCCTGGCTCCTGGCTTTGGATCTGCCCAGCTCTGGCCATTGCAGCCATTTGGGGAGTTAACCAGGAGGTGGAATACCTCTCTCTCTGCCTCTGCCTCTCTGTGGCTCTGCCTTCTAAATAAATAAATAATTCTTAAAAACAAAAAAAACCTAGGAGACCAGATGACCCTCAGAGCTCACAGACACACACATACACATACACACACACACTCCCGCCGGGGTGCCCTTGTGCGCCCTGAGCCTGACAGGGCAGAGTGAGGTGAGAACTCCTTGGACTGAGGCCAGGTCCGCCTCTGGTTCTGATTGTGCCCTGGACTGGCTGTGGGGCTCTGTGCGAGTCACGCAGTCTGTGTCTCAGTTTCCTAACGTGTGAAATGAGACGTGACATGATGAAGAGGAGGAAGACAGCTAATAGGTACTGATAACCAGGCGCTGTGCTGAGTGCTCCTCAGAACTGGTCTCTGTGCATCGTCCTGTCCACCTGGCCAGGAGGCACTGTCCGGATCCCTGGGCTGTGGATGGGGAACTGCAGCTGGGCCGTGTGTTCCCCCTCCAGGGTTACTTAGGGACAGTAAAGCTGGCCTCATATGACAGCCTGTGCTTCTGAGTGCGTCCGAAGTGGCTGCCTTGTTTCACGTTTAATTTTCTGATCATAACTACGTTTTGGCCAGTGTGTCAGGGGTTGTTGTAAGGAAAACAGTTGGGAGTAAGTTTGGGATTTGAAGCTAAATTGTAGTTAATAAGCATTCCTGGAGTGGAGTGCCTAGCTATTCCTGTAGAAGTAAATAGTGGACTTTTTCCTCATCCTTGTTAAATAAAATCTTACCCACGGTGCTTTGAACTTGTGCAAAGCAAAGCTATGTGTCAATACTACAGTGCAGAGGCCCCTCGTGGCAGAGCTCTCGACTGAGGCCCTGAGCACGCAGGCATTTGGGTGGCAGGACAAGGTGCTTGGCAGTTGGCACCACCAGCTGGCTGTGGGCATCTCTTAGCCATGCCCCGCCGTGGGGGCTCGGGTTGCGGGACACTGGCGCCTTCCGTGTTTGTCAGTGCTCAGGAGGATGGCGTTGGGCTTTTGCCAGCTGGAGCCACGAGTGTTGGGCTGTTTGCTCTGCCATCTCCACCTTGCTCCCCGAAGCCTGCCTGCAGCTGGGGTGTGGTGGAGGTGGTTTTTCCATGGTGCAGTGTTGTTTGGGAGACTGGCCTGAACAGACTTTAGTCACTGGGCAAGGGCAGCCTCTGGCTCTGTCTGCTTTGTCGGCCTTGAGCTGTGCAGGTGCGCTGACCTTCACAAGTAGGAGAAAGGCGATGTGACAGGCGGCCTGGGCGGCTGCTTGGATGACCCACTGCCCTGTGGGTGCCAGCGGGCAGTCCTGTGCAGCTTTTCCTCTGCGGAGGACTTGGGAACGAGGTGCTGGCTGGCTGTGTGCATACAGAGGGTTCGTGCTCTCATCCTGCCCATGGAAGACCGTCTCCGTGCTGCTGTGGACCATTCCGGCTCTCTGACCCCAGAGTCAGAACATGAGTCAGCAGAATTGGAGCTGGATTCCGGCTATTCCTCTGTGTGTCTCTTAACCGCTCAGAGTTCTGTTGAGTGACTAATGATCTTGTGCTAGGAGTGCCATCCTCCCACGCGAATCCCCAAAGAAAACTGGCTCTGAGTAAGGGCCCTGGCTCAGAAATCATCTGTCCCTCCCTCTTCCTGCAGGATTTGTCACTTTGGGATCCATGGCTTTCTTCCCTAGGCTCGGGTCCTTCGCCTGCGTAAGCAGAGCCCGGAGCCAGCGCTGTTTCAGGTAACTTTTCCCACCGAGTTCCAGGAACTGTGCCTTTGAGTCAGTCTCCTGTGCGGGGCCAGGTGTAGGGTGATGAGAATTGGGAGTGGCCATGGGGCAGGGGTGCTGACAGAGGAAGGCTGAGCTGGAGTTTGGTCAGCCACAGGGCAGCAGGGAATGGGTAGGGGGGAGGTGGTGTTCTTGGGGTGGGCTGGGGAAATGGCAAAGGCGGGAAGCTGCTGCTTGCATTCCTTGCAAGACTGATCTCTCGCAACCCTGTCATTGCCCTAGCACATGAAAACTCTAGCCTTTTTTTTTTTTTTAAGATTGATTTATTTGAGAGGCAGAGTTACAGAGAGAGGGAGAGACAGAGGGAGAGGTCTTCCACCTGCTGGTTCACTCCCCAAATGCCCACAACAGCCAGAGCTGGGCTGATCTGAAGCCAGGGCCAGGACCTTTTTCTGGGTCTTCCGCATGGACCCAGGGGCCCAGGCACTTAAACCATCCTCTGCTGCTTTCCCAGGCCATTAGCAAGGAGCTGGATCGGAAATGGAGTAGCTGGGACTTGACTGATGCCCATATGGGATGCCGTTGCTGCAGGCAGAGGCTTAATTTACTACGCCATAGCATAGTAGGAGCATTGCTCCTAGCTCTGAAAGGAGCTTACATTTGGTCACAGGTGCAAACTTGAAAACAAATCATTCTAGAGAAATGTGAGGAGTATAACAACAGGCTTCCATGGTGCTTGTGAGGCTTGGGACAGGAGCTGCAGTTGCAAGAGGAAGCATGGAATGGAGAGGCTGCCTTCCCAGATGAAAGAGGGAACCATTCCTGCCCGCCCCAGGGGGGTGATAGCTGGGTGTGCTCAGAGAACTCTGGTAGTTCCCACCAGCCCCTGGGGCACAAGGTGCCCGTGTGAATGCTAGGGTGTGGAACCTCAGAAGGTCGGTGAATTGGGACCAGCTGGTTGATAGTGTAGATGGTAGGGAACCATGGAGCAAGTCTAAGCGGAGGAGTGGTGTAGGACTTTTTACTAGGTTGAATCTGATGAGTCTGAGAAGTGAAGCAGCTGGGACTAGAACTGGCACCCATATGGGCTGCTGGCGCTTCAGGCCAGGTCGTTAACCGCTGTGCCACAGCGCCGGCCCTGGAGTGGTGTCGTTTTAAAGAGAATACTTTGTCGGCAGAGGGAGGTACAGTGGGACCCAGTTAGGACCCTAAAACCTTGGTATAGGTGTAGGGGAGGGAGCCTGAATGGAATAGGTTGTCAGTGAGGGCCAAGGGAAAAGACGGGAGCATAGGTAGCACCGTGAGTGGGACCCTGTGGCCAGGGGGTATTGGTGGAGAGGAAGGTTAGGGCCTGGGAGCTGGAGGTTCCAGAGAAGCTGTTTCTGCAGGGATCCAGTAGCAGGGGGAGATCTGCCAGGCAAGGCAGCAAGGTCAGTTGGGACCTCCTAAGTCTGCAGTGCAGTGTGTGTAGGGTGTGTTGTAAGGAGTTCAGGAGAGTGGAAAACCAGGACCAGAGTAGAGGAGGGAGGTGGGGCTCGAGCTGAGATTTACTAGTTGGCAGCAATGGGAATGGGTAAAATGGCCTGGAGCAGACATGGGAAGTGGGAACAGAGTCCCTAGGATCCCCAGCAGAACACCAGCGCCTCCACGTGAGCACTGGCTACCGGATTGCTTACTCGGAGCTTGTCTGCTCTTTGTGGGCGCTCTTCTAAAACATTCCTGCTTTGCAGGGAAACTGTGGAAGCAGAAGATCGGGGCCTTGCTTCGACCAGTTTCTGCCACGCTGTGTCAGGGACTTCCTAGGAAACTCGTATCTCTTGACCCCCACCCCCCAGCAACATGCTTGTAGATGAGGAGATTGGGCACGAGGATGTGTGGGGAAGCGGGTTTTGCAGGACAGGCTGGGGTTAGGTCAGGCCCGTAGGGATTCGTTTATGTCCTCCACGTCCTTGTGGGAAGCAGAGGCTTTCAGTTAAGGCTTTACATAGAGTTTGTTCTAACAGGAAGATTGGGTTCTTGTTAAAAGCCATCCCAATGGAGGGCTTGGCCCACCCGCAGGAGCTCTGGTTGTGAGCGGACCACTGGATATGGGCGTGGCGTCCTTGCAGGCCCTGCCTCCTGTCAGTTCCTGCTTGTGCTTTGCTCCTCAAGAGGTGCTGGCATGCGCGCTGGGCCCAGCCGTGGCCTCTGGGAGGGCCTGCAGCCTGCCCTGGGGAGATGCCCTCACAGCCTTTTCTGTCTCCCTCCAGCACCACCGGGAGCCTCAGCGCAATTCAGAAGATGACACGCGTCCGTGTGGTGGACAACAGCGCCCTGGGGAACACCCCCTACCATCGCCCTCCTCGCTGCATCCACGTCTACAACAAGAGTGGGGTGGGCAAGGTGGGCGACCAGATCCTCTTGGCCATCAAGGGACAGAAGAAGAAGGCGCTCATCGTGGGGCATCGCATGCCTGGCCCCCAGATGAGCCCCAGGTTCGACTCCAACAATGTGGTACTCATTGAGGACAATGGGAACCCTGTGGGGACCCGAATTAAAACACCCATTCCCACCAGCCTACGCAAGAGGGAGGGCGAGTACTCCAAGGTGTTGGCTATCGCCCAGAACTTTGTGTAAGCAGAGCCCAGGCCTCTGGCTGCAGGGGCTCACGAGGGAGCGGGGCAGTTCTGGGAGCCTTGGCTGGGCTGAGAGGGCGCCTGGGGCCACGCGGCTGTTCCCCTCAAGCAGGGTAGCTGTCCTTCTAGCGAATAAACATTTTGTGTCTGTTTTCTTAGCTTTCTAGGGTGCGGCAGTGATGTAAATGACACTGAAGCAGGTGAGGATAGCCCAGCCGAGTCTGGCCACATGCAGTGGCTGTCCTTGGGCCAGGGTCTGGGTCCTTGCTGTCTTGTTTGAACCCTATAATGTGAGTTTATCCAAGATGACCAGGCTCTGAAAAAACTGGGCTGCAGACAAAATGTTGATTCAGTTTTAAAATTTTCATTTTGTTTGAAACACAGAGCTCTTCCATCCACTCGTTCACTACAGATGCCTTCAACAGTAGAGGCTGGGCTGGTCCAGGACAAAACCAGGAGCCTGGAATTCCTCACAGGTGGGCAGTACTCGAGTCATCACTTGCTGCCTCCCGGGGGAAGCGTCAGCAGGAAGCGGATCAGAAGCAGAGGAGCCCAGACTCAGCCATGTACCACGTGGCATGCAGGTGTGTGTCAGCGACCTAACTGCTGTACCAAACGCCTGCCCCACGAATGCCAATTTAGAAGTACCGTGGAGCCGGCGCCACGGCTCACTAGGCTAATCCTCCGCCTAGCGGCGCCGGCACACCGGGTTCTAGTCCCGGTCGGGGTGCCGGATTCTGTCCCGGTTGCCCCTCTTCCAGGCCAGCCCTCTGCTGTGGCCAGGGAGTGCAGTGGAGGATGGCCCAGGTGCTTGGGCCCTGCACCCCATGGGAGACCAGGAAAAGCACCTGGCTCCTGGCTCCTGCCGGCCGCGGCGGCCATTGGAGGGTGAACCAATGGCAAAGGAAGACCTTTCTCTCTGTCTCTCTCTCTCACTGTCCACTCTGCCTGTCAAAAAAAAAAAAAAAAAAAAAAAAAGTACCATGGAGCCTGATACTTTCTAACCAAAAGGATTTTTAAAGGCTTTTAATTTTATTAATTTGAAAGGCAGAGAGAGGTCTCCCCCCTGCTGGTTCATTTCCCAAATGCCTACAACAGCTGGGGCTGGATTAAACTGAAGCCAGAAGCTGGGAACTCTATCTGGGCCTCCCTTGTGTGTAGCAAGGACCCAAATACTTGGACCACCACGGGCTGCCTCCCACGGCATGTGTCACAGGAAGCTGGAATTGGTAGTGGAGCCAGGTCTTGAACCCAGGCACACTGATACGGGATGCAGACACACCCACTGGCAATGTAACCACTGCCAGCCCCTCTGAAAGGTGGTGGCTCCCCCCCAAGCCCCCCACCCAATGTATTCTTCCCTGTGTGTGAGGGCTGGAGACACGGTTACAAAGATTACTGGATCAGCACGGAGGAAGAGCAGTGGGACATTCCCATTTAAAATACCTGGGTGCTTGGTCGTCACAAACCTCACTGGCCTCCGAGAGCCAGAGCAGGGAATGGTGAAGAACGCAGGCTATGTAGCCAGACAGCCTGGGTGTGGGCCCTCGCGCTGCCACTCATGCCTGGGTGAGTCAGGTGACTTTCCTGTGCCTCAGCTTCCTCATTTATGAAATGGGGACGTAATAATGGCACCCACTCCATAGGGATGGTGTGAGGGTGAGATGAGTTAGTACCTGAGAGTGCATAGAACAGAACTGGCGGTAGAAGTGCCCAGGGGGGTCTCATTTCCTTCCTGTCACCGCTTGCATACAGCACTGGGACATGAAGACAGTTCAGAGCAGATGTGGCCTGTGCCCTCATGGCATGCTGTCCAGAGAATGCTGATGAGAATCAGTGTCTCAGTTAATAAGGGCCTCTGATAAAGGAGGTACTTTCAAGAACGTTTTATTTGAAAGGCAGACACAGAGTGACAGGTAAACAGGTTTCCCTTCTGCTGGTTCACTCCCCAAGTGCCCACAACGGCCGCGTCTGGCCCAAGGGAAAGCAAGGAGCCAGGAACTCTGCCCAGGTCTCCCGCATGGGAGGCAGGGTCCCAAGTACTTGAGCCCAGCTTAGTCACAGGAGCCCTGGCCAGGCTCCACTGCCAGATGCGACACCCAGAGCCTCCCTGCTGCCTCCCGGTGTGCGTGTTAGCAGGAAGCTGGAATGGAAGCAAAGGAGCCGAGACTTGACTTTGTCAGTGGGAATCAAAGCAACCACAGTGGGAATGGGCGTTGTGATGGAAGTCAGAAGAGTGGCTACCTGGAGGTGGTGTGACCGGGAGGCAAGAGTGAGCCTTCTGGGTCCTGGGGTGTTCTCAGGTCTGAATAACCATGAGCTTGGTGGCTTTGTCCCCCTTACCCAACACTAGTGTAAATAAGTGCACAGGCATTTGCTGGGTGACAAGAGGGGAGAGTGCAGGCAGAGGGAAGAGCTGTGTGCAGGTCCTGTGGCAGGAGGGAACAGGATGAGGCCCAAGAGGAGGCCTCGGAGCCCTGGGGAGGAGGGTTTTTTAAGATTCATTTTATTTATTTGAAAGAGTAACAGAGAAAGAGACAGAGTGGTCTTCCATTCACTGGTTTACTCCCCAAATGGTCTCAACAGCCAGAACTGAGCTTATCTGAAGCCAGGAGCTTCTTTGGAGTCTGCCACCTGGGTGCAGGGTTCCAAGGACTTGGGCCATCCTCTGTTGCTTTTGCCAGTGCATTAGCAGGGAGCTGAGCTGGAAGTAGAGCAGCCAGGACTTGAACTGGCGCCCATATGGGATGCTGGTGCTGCAGGCCAGGGCTTTAACCTGCTGTGCCCAGAGCCCATCCCCTGGAGGCTTTCCTTATCCCCAGGGCATTGGATGCTGTTGAGGACCCTTAGAAGCAGGGTAGGGGTGGAGAGGGAGACAGGAAGTTTGAGCTGTGGAGCAGTTGACTGGGGAGGCCCGAGGGGACGAGTTTGGTCTCACAGCGGACTCTGCAAGATGCTGCCACTGACTTGGGTGGCCTGGGGCAAGTGGACACCTTCAGGAGGGACCTCTGGCCGCATGTGGCAGTGGGCTAGAGTGGTGGGAAAGGCTGAAGATAGGTCTGAGGTTCCTGGCTCCCGTTCCTGGGCGGTCAGTCACGTGGAACATTGGCCAGGGTGCTGTAGGGGAGGCTGAGGGTGGGCAGTAGCGGGCAGGCTGTGTGGAGGTGCCCAGGGTCATCACAGAGATGCTCCGTAGTACTGGGGATAAGTAAGTTTAGGTTGGAGTAACAGCGTCTTTAAAACGTGCACTTAACAAGGAGACCTCAGGAGGTATGTAGGAAAATTATAAGAAATTTATTTGGGTGCAAAAAACATTGAAGTCCAGGCAGTTTTCCACGAGTATTTTAGAGAACCCCTCATAGATTCTTGGTCTTCCTCATAGTCCCTGGGTTCTGCAGGCCCCCGAGTCTCACAGGTTAGTGGTTTCTCAGGGTCCCTCGGCTCAGCAGAGTCCGAGCCAGCCTCAGCCAGATCCTGCGACCCCCACTAAGGGGTTTTCCCACGCCTCCCAGGGCTGACCCTTGGGGCTCACGAGGCCTCTGCATCTGGACGTGATCCCTGCTGGCTGGTGCCCCAGCGGCCTGTGTTCTGATTTTTCTCCGTGCCATGGATGCTGTTTGAAGCTATCACCGACTCAGCCTGCACTGCAAGGAGGTGGGGGGCTCTGGGTGTCGCATCTGGCAGTGGAGCCTGGCCAGGGCTCAGGGTGCTGTGGGTGTGTGGGGAGCTAGTGTCCCACCCCATGGGCCCACTGGCAGGCCTGGAGGCATCTGTGACTGACATGCTGGGCTGCAGCTGGTGGACGTGGCCGCGGAGGGGGAGCCTCACCAAGACCAGCGATGGTTTCTCCCCCAGCAGCTCTGAACTTGGCTGCTCTGTGTGCTGCTTCCCAGGGGAGTGGCAGGAAGGGCCCCCTTGCCTGAGGGAAAGGAAAGGTGGCGTCTCAGGGCAGGACCTGTGCTGTGCTTTGGGGCAGCTTGACCCCGACTGCTCTTTGCCTGGTGGGCTCTCTCGGGTCAGCTCACTGCTGCTTCTGCCTGTGGTCGGGCAGGAAGTGCTGTCTTCCTCACACCTGCTCTGGGCAGCTGGTTGCTCTGCCACCTCCCAGCTGTGGGGGTTCCCCGGAGCCATGCAGATTGTCCTCTCTGTCCCTTCTGCTCTTCCCACTCCTCCCAAGGTGCTCCGTGCTGACCGCTGGAAGGCTGTGGTTTCCACACAGCCGGGTGGCGGGGCCTGTGACGCAGGCCCATGCAGCACACAGCCCAAAATAGCCTGGGCCTGGCCGCTCTCGCCACTGCCCTATCACTCTGCAGCCTGGGAGCCAATTTGCTGGCCACCCCCCCTCCCCCCCGCCCATTCTCAGCCAATGCTGCTTGCTTTCCCCATGAAATATTTAGACTCCGGATTCAGTTTCCCAAGGAGAATACACTTGGCTTTTGTTTTTTTTTTCCCTTCCACGCCCTTAAGAAGCTGCCCCTGGCAGGTCAAGGGGCCCCATCTCTGGGTCCGTGGACTCTGGGGCAGTGTCTTTGCTGAAGTGCCCTGCTTTGCCTCTGTTAGGCCACTGCCAGAGATATGGATGGGATGTGGCTGGGAGACCTGGGTGCAGGCCGGGACCTGCTGCTAACCAGCCGTGTGGTTTCAGGCCAGCCATAGCCTCGGCAGGTGCTGTGAGCTTCTGTGAGAGGCTGCCGCAGGAGCCCTGACTGGTAGGATGCTGAGGGCCTCAGCAGGACCCGGATGCGCCCTTACAGCCTCTGTGAAGGGCACGCCCTTTGCTGCACCTCAAGCAGCCCCTACTTGGAATCCCAAGCCCAGCCCTGCTGGGAGGAGGGCAGAGAGCACAGTGGGGTCATTTGCCTGTGGCTAGGTCCCTCTGAGCTGGTGAGGGGGAGCCACGTGGCAGCCCCATTCTCCCACCTCACCCTGTGGCGCCTTGTCTGCCACCCCGCTCAGTTCTTTCCTTTCATTGCCTCATAAGATGTACCATGGGCATTTATAATTTTTTTTTTTTTAACTTGAGAGGCAAAAAGAGACAGACACACACTCCTCAAATGTCCAAAATGGCTGGGACAGGGCTGGGGGCCAAAGCCAGGAGCCAGTCTCCCAGGCTGGTGACAGGGCACAATTACATGAGTCATCTCTGCTGCCTCCCGGTGTCTGCCTGAGCAGGAAGCTGGAGCCGGGTATCAAACCCAAGTACTCAGGTGTGGTATGTGAGCTTCTTAGAAGCCAGTCTAAATGCCTTTCCCAGACAGTTTTAAAAGATTTTATTTATTTTTATTTGAAAGGCAGAGTTACAGAGAAAATCTTCAATCCACTAGTTCACTCCTGAATGGCTGCAGTGCCAGGGGCTGGGCCAGGCCTAAGCCAGGAGCCTGACATTCCATCTGGGTCTCCCACGTGAGTGCAGGGGCCCAAGCACATTAGCAGGGAGCTGGATTGAAAGTGGGGCAACCGGTGCTCACATAGCTGCCTGTGATGCCGGCTTAATCCACTGTGGAGCAATGCCGAGCCCTCCCAGGCATTTGAAAAATGAAAATTAAACATTTCATTTTGAGAATCTCACAAGAGCTCTTGAATAATCAGGATGCCCTTGGATATTATAAAGCAGCTGTTGTGAAGTCAAATGTTCATGCCAAGTGGAGGCAGTTCCAGGTGAACTGGGACACGGGACTTGGGTGTGGCCACAGCTGCCCGCCCTGCTCTCCACCCTGGCCTCCCTGTTGGTTTGTACTGACTCCCAGAGGGCTGCCCGGCCCAGGACTGAAAGCAGAACCTTCTCTCCCAACTGCTGGCCTTTTCACAGGACGCCATGTCGGGTCCCAGCTGGCTGGGCGGAGGCTGTGCTGCTCCATCCCACAGGTTGCCCTGTGCCCTCCTGGGTGGCCATGGCTGACGCCCACAAGGAGCAGGCATCCGTGGGCCAAGGAGCCAAGTTTTCAAGTGTCCTTCCACGGCCCTGCGTACTTCACTGACTGCATGGGCTTGTCGACTTGCTGCTAGCTCTGATCGGAAGTTGGCTGGCGAAGAAGAACCAACCTTTGCTTGAAGTGAGGTTTCTGGGGTCTCTGTGGGTCTCCTCTCTCTGGGCTGGGTCCCCACAACTGAGAGTGCTTGTGGTCTCCACTCACGCGGCAGCTTTGGCCACAGGTCTCCTCCCCCAGTCTTGCCTTCGTTCTTGGTTTGCGTAGGGAACTGCTAGTCCATGCTGGTGTATGATCACTTTTGTTACATGTGGAGTTCATTTCAGTCCTACCCAGGCCCTTTAGAAGATCACGTGTTTGTGGTTTTAGTAAGTCTGATGCTGGGGCAGTGTTTGGTGTAGTGGGTAGGACACCACTTGCAGTGCCTGCATCCGGTCTGGAGAGGGCTTGGGTTCCAGTGCTGGTTCTACCCCTGATCCTAGTTTCCTGCTAATCCTAGCCACCCCCACAGCCAGCAGGGGTGGCTTGGGTAGTTGGGTCCCTGCCACCCACATGGGGGACCTGGATTGAATTCCCAGCTCTAGGCTTCATTTAGCCTGTTGCAGCCCTGGCCATTTCAGGTGTTTGGGGAGGCAAGCAGTGGATGGGTGATCTGGCTGTCTCTGTCTCTGCCCTCCCCTGATCTCCACCCCCCCACCTCTTTGCCTTTCAAATAAATAGAATAAGTAGACAGACACACACACACACAAAGGTTAATGCTGAAGTTTTTAGGAGCACAGTGTCAGCATGTGTCCCAAAACACCAATTTATGACTCTAAAGGAGGGGATATGACAATTTCACTATTATTCCAACTTCGAAAATAATTTTCAAAGTAATGTTAGGGATAAAAGAAATAAAGAATTGTTGCTTTTTCTTTATTTTTTAAATCCTGATGTTAAAACCAAATCAGTGGCCGGTGCCGCAACTCACTTGGCTAATCCTCTGCCTGCAGCACCGGCACCCCGGGTTCTAGTCCCAGTTGGGGCGCCGGATTCTGTCCCAGTTGCTCCTCTTCCAGGCCAGCTCTCTGCTGTGGCCCGGGAGTGCAGTGGAGGATGGCCCAAGTGCTTGGGCCCTGCACCGGCATGGGAGACCAGGAGGAAGCACCTGGCTCCTGGTTTTGGATTGGCACAGCGCGCTGGCTGTAGCAGCCATTTGGGGGGTGAACCAACGGAAAAGGAAGACCTTTCTCTCTCTCTCTCTCTCTCTCTCTCTCTCTCTCTCTCTCTCTCTCTAAACCTGCCTGTCAAAAAAAAAAAAAAAAAAAAAAGAATCAGTGTCTGAAGAGTGTCCCGGCCCGCCACTCCCCAGGACAGGGTGCTCAGCCTGGGCTCTCTGCCCTGCTGGTGGGGACTGCAGTTCAAGGTGCAGGGGCCAGGCCTGCTTGCTTCCATTCACCGCTGGCTGTGTGCCCGCTCTCGGGCTGCCTGTCACGTCTCCCCATCCCCCTGGGACCTAGCCTCCAGGGTAGGTTGGCAGCCATATTTGAACATCTGCCACATAGTGGGTTTGCAGTCAGTGTCAAGTTCCATTCATGTCTGGAGTGTAGCTCTAAAGGAAGGGAGAGCTTTGTGCTTCCTTGGTGTCCTGTGGGGCTGGCATGTCCTCTGTGTTCTCTCTGGGGACATGCATGGGGCACCCTTCTCCAAGGGCGGGGCTCTGAGTTACCCACAGTGGCTTAGGAGCAGTGAACTCCCACTGTGCTTGTTTGCACTCTTAGCATGACCATGTAGAGTTGGGGGCTGGAAAACCCCCTCCATTTCCCACATGAAAGTAGCAGGTGCAGGACAAAAACTAACGTTTCCTGGCTCCCCGTCTAGTTCTTGTCACCGCATCGCTGAAGTTAAAAATCAGATGAGCTTTCTGAAAAATACTTTGGAGGGGGCTGTAGCTCCCTCCCTTTTTGTGGCCAGTGTGGCTTCCACACGTGGTGCCCAGGCCGGGGTGCAGTGATGGGGGGAGGCAGGGTGACCATGATGCTGCCATCTGAACCCCATCTCAGCCCCTTTGTTCCCCACTGGGCCCGACAGCCTCCGGGCCTGCCCCACTGCCTTCTGGGCTTCCGCCTGAGCTGCAGTTGCCTGCTCTCTGGATCTCGTAGCTTTGGGATGCTGCCACTGCAGGGTGCCACCTCCGGGGCCGTAGCCGCCTGGCACAGTGCCTTCACCTGTATGTCCTCCCGCTGCTAACGTTTCTCCAAAGCCTGGAACTTTGACTGCAGGCCCGGAGGGGCCCCTTCCTGTGTGGGTTCAGGAGGCTCCGGCCTTAGAAGCCATCTCTGGCTTGTTCACCTCCGGTGCCCAGCAGATGCACAGGAAGTACTGCGGTCACCAAGGTTAAAATTTAGGAGTCTGGCCGGCACCGCGGCTCATTAGGCTAATCCTCCGCCTTGTGGCGCTGGCACACCGGGTTCTAGTCCCGGTCAGGGCACCGGATTCTGTCCCAGTTGCCCTTCTTCCAGGCCAGCTCTCTGCTGTGGCCCGGGAGGGCAGTGGAGGATGGCCCAAGTGTTTGGGCCCTGCACCCCATGGGAGACCAGGATAAGTACCTGCCTCCTGGCTTTGGATCAGCGCAGTGTGCCAGCCTCAGCGTGGCGGCCACTGGAGGGTGAACCAGCGGCAAAGGAAGACCTTTCTCTCTGTCTCTCTCTCAACTGTCCACTCTGCCTGTCAAAAAAAAAAAAAAAAAAAAAAAAAGGAGTCCGTGTCCCAGGCGTGTGCAGGGACCTGTGCTGGGTGGGGTTGCCTCCCTCCACACAACCTTCCCCCCAGGCTTCATCCACTAGGCCCGTGTCTCCTGCTCATCTATTTTCTAGGCTGATAACCCAGTTAACTGGAGTTCATGTTCACGTCCAAAGCCCATGATGTGGTATGGCTTTTTGGCCTGAATGTTGCTGTTGTCCCAGGACCGCCTGGGCAGGAAAGAGGAGCCCTTGACCAGAGAGCCCTGTGACTCTCTGTGCCAGATTTGAGCCCTGTGCTGAGCTTTCCTCCGGTCACCCAGAGCTCAGACGCTCAGGCAGCAGGGCAAGACAGCCGTACAAGTGTGCGGCCTGGGCACATCGCCTCAGGCAGGACGTGTGTCTGTTGGGTGGATGGACGGATGTAAGGAAGGGGTAAGGGGGATTGAAATGGCTCCACCCTGGGCTCACCAGAACTTAAATGGTGTCTGAAAGCAAGCAGCCATCCTCAGAGCTGGGCAAGGGACGGAAAGGAGGCAGCGCAAGGAGCTCAGGAGGGACCGAGAGGCGTGAGTGGGCCAGGGGCAATGTCGCTGTAAGTCGGCTCCCGTGTGCCTTAGCGCCTTGGTTGTTGGCTGCGGCTTCTCTCTCTCTCTCTCTCTCTCTCTCTTTGAAAGAATTAGAGTTTCCATCTACTGGTTCACTCCCAAAATGACTACAATGGCCAGTGCTGGGCCAGGCTGAAGCCAGGAACTTTATCCAGGTCTCCCCCGTGGGTGCAGGGGCCCAGGCACTTGGGCCATCTTCTACTGCTTTCCCAGGCCATCAATAAGGAGCTGTATTGGAAGTGGAGCAGCCAGGACTCGAACCAGCACCTCATCCTCCCCACCAAACAAGGGCATCGAATAAGCAGGTTTACTGATGGACTGCAGTTGAGTCTTCTGCTACTCATGTCCAGGAGGAGAAACTGGGCAAGAGACAGGGCAGTGGTTCCCAAGTGGGGACGTGTCTGGAGACAGTGAAGGTTGTCCCCACCGGGCAGAGGCCAGAGCTGCTGCCGGTCAGGCTACGATGGGCAGGACAGCCTGCTCGACAGAGATGGACCATCCCTGAGCTTGGCAGTGCCGTGGGTGAGGAACCCTGACGTCAGACTATGCAGGCATGGCGTGGCTGGAGGGGACAGAGGGCATCTGGGCAGTGGTTCATAAACAGCCGTGTGGGATGATAGGAACGGAGCCCACATTGCAGTCTACAAGATTTCACACTGGACCATGGTTTCCTGTCCATTGCTGTGATGTGAGCCTGAAGCCGGGACAGGTGCTGGGGAATTTAGGACAGCTGCAGCTCACTGAGGGGTTCAGATGGTCCGATGGAGTCAGGGTGGTGAGTGGACTGGGTTGGGGGCAGGGCCCACGGGACTGCACGCAAGCTGGGGGCTGAGGGCCCGGCTCTGTCCTGGGCTTGGCTCCTCTCCTGGGTGTTGGGCCCTCGCGGCTTTCTCAGCACTTTCTTTCTACCCCTGCTCGCATCCTTTCATGGTTGTTCTAGCAGCGATCCTACCAGACGATTTTTTTAAAAGAATATTTGAAAGGCAGAGTTAGAGAGAGAGGGAGAGACAGAGATCCGCTGGTTCATTCCACAAAAGGCCACAATGGCTGGGGGTATGCCAGGCTGAAGCCAGGAGCCAGGAGCTTCTTCTGGGTCTCCCACGTGGGTGCAGATGCCCAAGGACTTGGACCATCTTCTACTGCTTCCCCAGGCCATTAGCAGGGGGCTGGACTGGAAGTGGAGCAGCCGGGACTCAAATAAATGTTCATACGGGATGTGTTGTGGCAGTGGTGGCTTAACCCATTGTGCCACGATGCCAGCACCGTGATCTTTTTTTTTTTTTTTTTTTTTTTTAAGATGTATTTTATTTATTTGAAAAGCAGGGTGACTCGGCCGGCGCCACGGCTCACTAGGCTAATCCTCCGTCTTGCGGTGCCGGCACACTGGGTTCTAGTCCCGGTCAGGGCACTGAATTCTGTCCCGGTTGCCCCTCTTCCTGTCCAGCTCTCTGCTGTGGCCCGGGAAGGCAGTGGAGGATGGCCCAGGTCCTCGGGCACTGTACCCGCATGGGAGACCGGGAGAAGCACCTGGCTCCTGGCTTGGGATCAGCGCAGTGCGCCGGCTGCAGCGTGCCGGCTGCAGCAGCCATTGGAGGGTGAACCAACAGAAAAAAAGAAGACCTTTGTCTCTGTCTCTCTGTCTCTGTCTCTCTCTCTCTCTCACTGTCCACTCTGCTTGTCACAAAGAAAAAAAAAGCAGAGTGACAGAGGAAAAGGACAAAGAAAAAAAAGACCTTCCACCTGCTGGTTCACTTCCCGAATGGCTGCAGTGGTGGGGGCTGGGCCAGGCTGAAGCCAGGAGCTCCATGTAGGAGCCACTCTTGGGTTTGTCTTGCTGCTGTTCCCTTTCCCAGGGTTGGTCTTCCAAGGTGCTGCCTGTTCTATGGTAGAAATGGCCTTCTTCCTTCCTTCCCTCTTCCTCCTCCACCTCAGGACCCCTCCTGGGCTTGGGGCACTGCCGACTTACTGTGACAACCTGGCCACTCACGGGAGGGCGGCTCCAGGAGGTGGGAGCCGCGTGGGTCCGGAGCACATGGTAGGAGCAGCCGAGAAGCGAGACCAATGCACTGCGGGCTTGCTTTGCCCCTGCGTCGTGCTGGGCACCTCCCTGTTGTCTCACCGTGGTCCTCACAGTGGCGCCACTCAGTCCTCCCTGTGCCTGACTCCTGAGTGTGGGTGACCCAGGCCGGGAAGCGGTAGGATCGGCTGTCAGAGCTCCTGCACTCCCTGCTGCGCTGACCTGTGGTGGAAGCTTTTCTTGGTAGCAAGCCCTCCCTCGCTGTTAAAGCTGTTTTCCGGAAGCACGCGTTGGATGACCACTGCGGACACTTGGCAGTTGCTCCCAGCTGCCTCAGGTCAGCTCCGTGCCGCCCAAGCCAAGGGCACTGCTCCCTGCCCAGGCCAGCTCCCTGCCTTATGTAACAGCGCTGCTGCCTGTCACTCAACCACTTGGCCTCCTTCTCCAGCCTCCACTTACACACGGCCCAGGGGTCTTGCTCGTGACGGCGTCCTCCCATCCATGGCGCAGGGCTTCTCAGTGTCTGCGGAAGGAGTGATCTTAGCAAGAGTGGGGGTCCTTCCCCATCGCCAACCCCATGTCCTCATGGCCCAGAAAACCCCTCTGAGGGCGGCCTCCACAGCTCCGCCCTCCGGCGGTCAAGGGGAGAGCTTTGTCCCTCTCAGAGGCCACTCACCTGCGCCTTGGGCCCCAGCCATCCACGCACCTGTAGGAGCTGCCAGAGACCTGGGGCATCTGTGCACCTCTTTGGTCAGGAATGTTTTTTCACCCCAGGGAGAGGGGGTCGGTTGTCCCATGGCCCTGCTCAAACAGCTCCTTAGCCAAGTCCTCCTCAGCCAATGTCAGGTCCTCAGGGCCTCTCTGGGTTCCTCTTGTCCTTTTCCATCCTGTCCTGTGCCCTGGGAGTCAGAGCTGCTTCCGGGGGGCTTGGGCCTGCTCACCTCTCTGTGGGCTTGGCCAGTGGGAGGGGCCGGCAGGAGCTACAGGGACCTGCCAAGAAGAGAGAGCTTTGGGGTGTGTGTCACCCCTCCCCTGCAGGGCTGGCCACGCCCCTCGGCTGCCTGTCATGCAGTAGCTCTCCACGCTGCAGGGTTTGGGTTCCCCCTGGGTGCACCCAGTGGCCACAATATGATTCCAGCCCCGAAGATGCTCCTGGGCAGGGCCCGGAGCCAGGCAGGGCTTTGTTCTCCTGTGCAAATGTGGGGACACCTGTGTGCTGATGCCTGCAGCTGTGGCTTCTCGAGAGGCCTAGAACCTGGGGCCTAGGGGTGAGTAGGGCTCAGGTGAGTCCCACCCCAGCCTCAGCCCTTTCACCCCAGCCCAGGGCAGAGTGGGATGCCCAGGGACCTGCTGCATGGTGGGCTTCCTGGCGGTGGCAGGGAGGCCGGGACAGGGAGGCCTCCGAGGGTGGCACCACGGATGGGAACCTCACCCCACCGCTGCCCTGCCTTACATGGCCTCAGCATTCATGTCAGGGGTGCATCTGTCAGGATCACCAGCCGCTGCGCACAGAGCTGCTCTGAGGGTGCGGCGGGTGGGAGGGGCCAGGCAGGAGGCAGGGGCTCCAGGGAGCGCAGGAGGAGGTCAGAGCAGTGTGGGGGTGGTGTCAGGGGTCGGGGGAGTAGCAAGAGGTTGGTATAGAGAAGCCAGTCTGGGAAACAGGGCGTGGGTCCAGAAGTTCAAGTGAGCACCACCAGTGATTTTTTTTTTCAAAGATTTATTTGTTTATTTGAAAGAGTTTTAAAAAGAGGGAGAAACAGGGAGATCAATCTTCCATCTGCTGGTTCACTCCCCAAATGGCCCAGTGGCTGTAGCTGGGCCAATCCGATGTTGGGACTAGCAGCTTCTTCCAGGTTTTCCATGAAGGTGCAGGGGCCCAAGGACGTGGGCCATCTTTTGCTGCTTTCCCAGGCACGTTAGTAGGGAGCTGCATCAGAAGTGGAGCAGCTGGGACTCGAACTGGCACCCATAAAGGGATGCTGGTGCTACAGGCGGTGGCTTTACCTGCTACACCACAATGCCAGCCCTGCACCTGGAACCCTAAACCTACTGCACACCCAATTGTTAAATGTCCCCAAAGATGGACTGAGCAGGATCTGGTCGATGTCTGCAGGTGGAACAGGGGAAGGTAGGTAACTTCCAGGTCTCCAGGCGTGGGAGCTGGGTGGGGTTCCTCTTGGAGTCTGGGACCCTGGATGGTGGAGGGTTCCCTTCTGCCTGTTGAGTTGCTGGTGTTTAGGGGATACTGAAATTCTCTAAAGGTAAGGTCAGAGGAGGGAACAGGGGGAGAGACTTCCGAGGCCTCTGGACATGTGTGGCACTTCACATCGCGGGGTCACCCTAGGAGAGGGCAGGGGCAGGGAGAGGGGAGCCCAGGGGAATAGGAGAGGCAGGTGAAGCAGGAGGGGGCTGGGCTGGAGATCTGGAGGGAATGGTCAGGGAAGGAGAGGGAGGGGAAGTGGGGAAGCAGAGTCCCGGAAGTCGGGGAAGGAGGCTCTAGAAGGAAGTGGTCAGCCTCCCTGGACAGGGAGGTGGCTGCAGCTGTCGCTGGTGGACACTGGGGTCAGAGGCAGCCTGCAGCAGGTGATGAGGGGACCAGTACCAGAAACGTGGATGAGTCTTCCAGAAGCTTGGCTAAGCCGGCCACACTGGAGTCTCCTGGGGGTGGGAGAGAGACCTGAGCTAGTGTCAGTGGAGGAGTGGATCCTCTGCCTTGCCGTGGGGGGCTCTGGTGGGAAACAGCACGGTGAGGACTATGCATCAATGTTCTCAGCCAGGAAGACCCTGAGCGCCCTCCCCTGGGACACGTCTGCTGGGTGGCGAGCTGGGGTCCTGCAGGGGGTGTGCAGAGACTCCTTGTGGGGGCAGAATCTGACTCAGGTGGAAGGGTGCTTTGATGGGGACAGTAAGAAACCATCTGATGCTGTCCCCTGGGCCCTGTCCCTGGTCATCTAATGACCACTTTTGTGTTGGGTGCATGGCCACAGTTAGTGAACCCTCCCTGCATGTCCACCCATTTTATGTCCCTGTTAATGTCCTGCCTCCCCAGGGGCCCCAGGAGGTAGGTTCTAACAGCATCCCTGTATTGGACCTTGTGCTTCCAGTGTGGAAACTGAGGCACAGGGTGAGGGGGTGACTTGGCTAAGGCCACAGGGCTGGAAAATGTGGACCTGGCTGCTTCATGGTTGCTGTCTGTGGCAGCAGAGAAAGGGAGGAGCGGGTGGTAGGGAGGGGACATGACTAAGGAAGATGCCAGTAGGGAGAGGACACCGGGGGCCCTGACCAGCAAAAGGGGACTTCATTCCCTGAGCCTGGTGGGCAGGTGCATGGGATGGCCAGAGAGGCATTGAGGAGGGGCTGGGGCAGGCAGCGGGAGGCTGTCTCCTGGGAGTGTGGTTAAGGTGGGACAGACAGGGATCAGTTGCTGAAAGGGGAAGGCCCGGGGTCCCCCCCCCCCCATCAGAGAAGAATTCTGTTCTGTAGGGCCCGGTGGCCATGTAGGGGTGGGGGAGGGGAGGGGTCTGCAGAGCAGGGGCATGCCCTTTCCCCAAAAGGTTTCCTGCCCAGGAAGAGTCAAGCCCGCCCTCCTCCTTGCTTCCTGGGTCTTGCCCATGGTCTCTGTCCCTGGGAGCCAGGCACAGGACTGTGCTTCCTGGATGACGTATCTGACTCAGGAGGATCTGTTGTGTCTGGCTTGGAGGCCAGCAGTGGGTCTGTTTGTGTCTCCAGCCCTTAGAACCATGCTTGAACTTGGAAACATTGCTTGAGGGTGGGCTCTGTGGGACAGTGGTTGGCTCTGGCTTGAAGGGGCTCACACCCCTTATCAGAATCCCAGCCACTCTGTGCTTCCAATCCAGCTTCCTGCTGATGCACCTACAAGGCAGCAGATGATGGCCCAAGTACTTGCGGTCCTCCACCTATGTGGGAGATCTGTTGGGGCTCCTGGCTCCTGGCTCTGGCCTGGTCCAGCTCCGGCTGTCGTGGGCACTCGGGGAGTGAGCCAGCAGGGGGAAGACCTTTCTTTCTCCCTCTGCTACTCTGCCTTTCAAATAAATAAATCAGTCTTTAAAATAAATAAATGCATGCATTTTGCTTGAACCAACAGTCTTCTATTTGTCCCCTGTGATCCCAAGGACAGGAGCAGGACTTGGTGTGTCGTAGTGATCAAATATTGGTCCAATCAGCCTAGGAACGCCTCCAGGGGAGGGGTTGGGGC